TTGGAAAGATAACAACTCCCCACGTTGTGGGCATTTGGCTGACATTAGGTAGTGTCGGATTAACCTTGTTGGGGGCCCGGGACATACCAACTGTGCGGGGGCCCCATTGTTGTTTGTTCAAATTGTTCGTACTGACCGCGGATCGTACTAGTATGTACTTCGCCCCCTTCTGTGCCTGGGGTGTTTAGGCAGCGATTTCCTGGGCCCACAAAATTCTGTTGGTACCTACCAGTCCCGGGGCCCCCAATATCCCCCCCCCCCTCAGCCCAGGTACTGGTTGGCTCCGTCCAGAATAAAATATTAGTATGACCCAGAATTGTGGGGGTGTTACGATTCCTCGATTCCCTTAGCGAAGAACGTAAATGGAAATCGGGTTCGCTACAGTCTAGTGCTATACCAAAAGAATAAGACAAACAACAAGTTAAAAATTAATAAATTTTATTAGGAGGAAAACAATTAATTAATTGTAGGCCTATATATTATAGGTTCTACGGCAATAAATAAACAAATCGGCAATACCTAAACAAATCATCAAATTGCATAAATTATAAAATATTGGTAGGCAATTATAGTAGTGAACGCCAGATACTTTCTGCATTAAAATAATTAAAAATATGAAGCTGATCATTGACGTTACCGCCCTTTGCCCTAATTGTGGGATTGCATGTTTTTCCGTCCCAAAAGCCAAAAGTGACAAAATAGGGATTTTTCCCCAAAAAGTGGGGATTTACCCACTAATTGATAAAAATGGGGATTTTTCCCCCAAAATGGCAAAAGTGGGTATTTACCCACTAACCCAATAATTGATGAAATGGGGGTTTTTCCCCAGGAGTGATGAGAGTTAGGATTTTACCCAACTATTGATAAAAGCGGGGATTTACCCACTAATTGATGAAATTAATGGGGATTTTTCCCCAAAAATGATGAGTTAGGATTTTACCCAACTAGTGATAAAAGCGGGGATTTACCCACTAATTGATAAAATTGATGGGGATTTTTCCCAAAAAATGATGAGTTGTGAGGTTATCTCACTAATGATTAGGAGCTGAAATAGAACCTGTAAAATATACAAAAGGCAAGTAGATCTATATGTTGTTATTTAACGTTGTTGAATTCGGCTCTGGGAGGCCTCGAATTCCGGTCAAAATAAGGCCTACAAAAAGAGACAATCAATATTGACAAATTGACGGGGGAAACTGAGCCTAAGGCCTAGGCCTAACTTGCAAAAAAAAAGTTCTATAGTCCAGCTTAAATAATCGCCAGTCAGTGTTTACCACGGGAATTAATAGGCTGCTATTCACCTACCAATAATGTATCCATGACTTTCTTTAAGGCAAAATGGGCCTAAAAAGTAGTAACCTTAGATTCGACTGCGCCCAGTGACTGCCGGAGACCGAAGTGTCAAACCTAAGGCCTGTCGTCTGCTCTAATTAAACGCTCCGCCAATCAGAAGGATTGGAACGTCGGCTCGCGCTCACCAACCAATGAAATGACTTCGAAGGTTAGCGCGAGTACTACGGCCAATCACAGTGCCTGGAACAGACGCTCGTGTAAAACGTCAGTCAAATGCCGGAGTTGGTGAATGAAGCTTGTCAGAATCCGAGACGATGAATATTTGAAAAATACGGGTGCAATCTGCATTGGTATGCTATCTTGCGTAAGTATTCCTATCGCCCTTGAGATGGGGCATATTAATACGAATTATTGAAACATGACAAGCTGAATTTCGACCAGGGTAGAACTAGTTCTCACGCGTTGACTTTGTGAAATCAAACGCACGCGGTCTGCCTCCATTTGACACTTCCAAACGGCTGACAATAAATGAGTAGATAAACTTTAAATATTATAGCAGGTTAATGTCATCTCTAATTCTATGACCTTTTGTAGACTTTGGCCGCGATATATATATAATAATGATACTACTAATAATATAACAATAATTATAGTTTTATTCTCGTGCAACTCGAGCAGGGAAGTTATCACAAACATGTCACAAAGTGATGCATCTAGCAAAAACTAAATAGCTTATAAAAATAACAATACTGACTCTGGTGCATGGCACATATTAATTAATGATACTAAGTTAGCAATACTAAGTTAGGTCGATTCAGCTCTAATATTAGCTTTGCCTCCGCGCGTAACATTGGCCCTTCCCCTTCAAAACATTCGTCCCGAATGAGTAAATAAAAATAAACTCTTTTTTTTTTAAAGGCAAAGCTATAGGAATGAGTATATAGGCTACCTTGTTTATCAAAGGTCAGGTAATGTACGTACACGAGACTGGCAGGATAACATGAAAATTGGGCTAGGCAAACGCCTATACGTATTCTGCACTAAACAGTGACATTTGCCACTTAAATATTACACATATATGCAAGAAGTAAACATGCCTATTGCAGGTCTATATTTAGGCCTGAAAAGTTATATAAACTATTAATTACACACTTATTAACCAAACATTATCGCGATATTAACTAGATTAGAACGGTTTGCGAATACACCAGTGCACTAGTTACCACAAGAACAATATAATAAAAGCAGCACTACTCTAACAGGAAGAAGTAGTTTTCATCATTCAAATACAGGAAGTCTTAAATCTCCTGCAATTTTTGACTTATGAATGATTGTAAACCAGTAATACCATAAAATTGGGCCTCACCAAACAATTCATGTAACAATTGATAGCTATATGGCAATGCCATTTTGGATGCAGGGGCTCCAACATCCCCTCTTAAAAATGTTAGAATGGTATCAAAATGTTTTGGCGATCTATCTATAAAATAATAAGGAAGGCCACCTTTCTTTTCAGCCTTGATAGGGGCATCCTCCTTAAGCAAGTGAAAAAACAGAGTCTCCTGATGGGACCTCAAAGTGGCCATAGTGGTTTTAAATTCTGTTCCCCCCACATCTAAAATAACCATTCTGTGTTCATTATCTGCCATGTTCTTAAGTTGTTGTTTAATTTTCAGCACCAGACTGGATTCGGTCGAACTATTATTGTTATTAGAATTTGGAAACTCTGATTGCCTCTCACTACCCCGCAGTGTTGCTATGGATCCGGAAGACACGTCAGACAGGGCCGAGGATGAAGATGAAGATGAAACAGTTCTCAAACGCTTACGATTAATGCGGATAGGATACACAAAAAGTGGTTTGGCTAAGTTACTTGCAGTACTAGGGATTTCAGAATTTTGTGGAGGTACCACTTAGGCACTGCTGTCACTCTGGCCTCTCGTCTTTCGGATTCGGACCTGGATTGACGCCTTACAGATTTAACCTCCGTTTTCATGTTGGCCACAAAATCCTTATATTCGGCCTTCTCTATCTCACCATATCTCATGTTGGCCCTTTTTACCCTCTCCATGGTGGCACGTGGACATCCAGGGTGTTTAATGTCCGGTCGGTTTGTAACATTCTTGCATTGACTACATTTGTATCCAAAACCAGAATGGCTACTGACGATGTGACTCTCGCAATGGGCGATCCGCACATATTCTCGGTTATCATTGCATATACTGCATTTATACCGTGTGACCTGTAATACATAATGAAAATGACCTTCGTTATTTAAAAAGTGGTTGCTACAAAGGTTTGTTGGGTTTTTTTTTTTTTTTTTATTTAATATGCTTATTATTTAGTGCTTATTTCCCAATTGAGTAGAATTGCCCACATATGGTTTTAACAAATTGTGATGGATAACCTTGGGTATAGAAGCCACAGACTTTCGAATTTTATAAAGTACGTCATTGATTGGTTTTAACACGACACAAGGACCCTCCCATGCAGGGCTTAATTTATTTCCTGCATCCTTACACCCGGCATTATAAATCCACACACGGTCTCCCGCCTTATATTGATTAACCAGAATATTTCTGTCATGGTTGCGTTTCATATTATCCGCTGATATCCTTAACCTTTTACGTGCGAATTCATGAATTGTTTTTAATCTTTCCGTCAACTGATATGCATATTCTGATTTGTTTTGATTTACTTCAGGTAGAACTCTACCAAGAACAAGATCAACAGGTAGGTTTATTTTACGTCCTAAGACCATATGATTGGGACTAATGCCAGTAGACTCGTGTTCCGCTGAACGATAGGCAGTTAATAATAAACTTAAGTGGCTATCCCAGTTTTTTTTATTTTCAGCAATGAAACAAGATATCATGTTTTCAATTGTACGGTTTGCCCTCTCAATCATCCCATCTGATTGGGGTCTGTAGGCGGTAGTACGCGTTTTCGTAATACCCTATATTGTGCACATTTCCTTAAACACTTGTGACTCAAAATTTGATCCCTGATCGGAGTGGAGCTCCATAGGCACTCCGAAAATGCTAACCATCCGGTCTATAAATTTATTGGCTACAGTATGCGCTTTTTGGTCCTTCATTGGTACCGCATCGACCCACTTAGTGAAATAATCAGCCATTACTAAAATAAACTTGTTTCCGTTTTCAGTCACAGGTAATGGTCCAATGACGTCTAGTGCCCACCGTTCCATTGGAACACCAAAATTATATTTTTTTAATGGGGCTTTAGCAGTTTTAGTCTTGGATTTTCGAGCAGAACAATAATCACATGCTTTAACCCAGTGCTTGATGTCATTTCCCATATTATTCCACATAAATCTCTCCTTTATTTTGGACAGAGTTTTCTTTCTGCCTAAATGTGCCCCACCAACCCCATTGTGAAGGTGTTCAAGGACTACCTTCCTAAGGCTAACTGGCAAAATTATCTGAAAATGGGGTTGTCTCCCCTTATCTGGTTCCCACTCATAACAAAGGATATTATCCTTACATACCAAAGAATCAAAGCGCATCCAGTAATATTTTAAGCTTTCACTCTCTAGTGAAATATCAACCCAAGGCGGTCTTTTATTTCCCGTAACCCACAAACTGACTTTTTGTATAATTGGGTCTTTTTCTTGAAAATTGATAACATTCTGACCCTCTAATAATTGTGACATATCTAACTGTACATTTTTACTTTCAGGGGGAACATTGAGTGGATTTTTATTTAAGGTACATGGGTTTTCCATGTCATTGGACAAGGCATTCACAGACACGTCACACAGTGAAATTTGATTATCAGGATTGGCCTCACAGGTATAATTTTGCTCAGCCCGAGTACAGTGCCCACACTGTTCGATACATGGCCTCCGCGAAAGCGAATCTGCATTATTATGGGCACGTCCTGCACGATATTCTGTTTTGAAATGATATGATGATAAGAACTCGAACCATCTAGCCAATTGACCTTCAGGATTTTTAAAATTGATAAGCCAGGTCAGGGCCACGTGATCTGTGCGAACTCTGAAAAACTTCCCATACAAATAATGATGAAATTGTTTTATTGATAGCACAATAGCCAATAGCTCTCTTCTAGTCACACAATATTTGCGTTCAGTTCTACTGAATGCCTTACTATAATATGAAATAACTTTTTCAGTGCCACATTGAATCTGAGATAAAACAGCCCCAGCTCCAAAATTGGAAGCGTCGGAATCGATAATGAACAAGCCCTCTGGCTGGGGAAATGACAGAATCGGTGGACTGGTAAGTGCACCTTTTAGATTATCAAACGCTTTCTGACTATCTTCCCCCCAAACGAATTTCTTGGTTTTCTTTGTCCGCAAATTTTGATACAAATTTTCTATAATAAGAACATAGCCCCAAAAATGATCTAACTTCTTTCACTGAAGTAGGAATCGGCCAGTTTTGAACTGCATGAGTTTTCTCAGGATTGGTGGCTATGCCATGTTCACTGACCACATGACCCAGAAAAGACACCTCTTTCTTCAACATTGCACACTTATTGGGGTTCATTTTTAAATTGGCTTCTCTTAATCTTTGAAATACTAGGTTCAAGTTTTCCATATGTCCCTCAAATGTTTTCGCGAATACAATAATGTCATCGAGATAGACCATGCAAATTTTCCATGTTAGTTTAGATAAAACTTTATCCATGAGACGAACAAAAGTGCTCGCGGCATTACATAATCCCATCTCAGCTATTTTTAACTGCCAATACCCTGAACGCAAATCAATGGTGGAAAAAATTGAATTTCCAGATAGAGCGTCTAGTGTTGTATCTATTCTAGGTATTGGATGGCTACACTTCAATGTCACCTCATTCAATCGACGGAAATCCAAACAAAAACGCAGACTGTTGTCTTTCTTTTTGACTAGCACTACACAACTACTCCATGGACTACATGAGGGCTCTATTATTCCCTTATTAATCACATCCTCAAGCTCTTTTTCAACCTCCTCAACCTTAGCTATGGGAACCCTACGGGGATGCTGTTTAATTGGAGGATTAAGTCCTGTATCAATTTCATGTTCCACTAAATCAGTCAAGCCTAGATCACCCAACGACTTTGAGAACACATCTTTATATTTTATTAATAAATTTTTTAGGGCTAGCTTTTGGCTCTCCTCGAGATCGATGGACGACTTATGGTACAATTCCACCAGGTGCTCAGGTATGTCATTATTTTCGGATGAACTTGATTTATTTGTTAATATTTCATTTACATCACAATCGGGGGGAGAATCCATACACATATCAATGACCTCCATGGTCACTACAATTGAATTTTTATAAATCTTATGTTCAGCCTCATTTATATTAAGTAAACGAATTGGGACAGTCCCACACTTTGGATTTACTATGCTTTTGGCCAATAAAATATCATGCTTTTGCATACAATTCTCGGTGGGTTCAATGATTGTGGTCCTCTCATGAGGTATAGGATCTATCACCCTACCCGTAATCATAATTTCACTATTCGGAGGAATCACTATATCTTCTGTCACAGAGACCCTGCAACAACTGTGATTATCTCCCTTTTGATATCTATAACATGGAACTTCATCCCCCTTTATTAATAAACAGTTTTTCATAATTAAAATATCTATGTTATGCTTCGTTAAGAAATCGATCCCAATAATACCAAAATTGGTAATTTTTGCAATTAGAAATTCATGTTTAAAACTATGTGCACCAATAATCACATTTGCAGTACATTTCCCTAGGAATGGTTCTCTTTCCCCAGTAGCAGTGATAAGGTTCAGTTTAACTGGTTCGATATGTACTTCACACATAAGCTACGTCTACACTAGCAGCATTCACCGTCTACACTAGCCTTTTAAATCCCGTTTTTTTCCTAAAAGCCGGCTTTTTCAATTTCTCAATCGTAAAAGCCGGCTTTTTAAAATCCGGCAATTATTGAGGGATTTTTCAAAATCAAAAAGCCGGCTTTTTCAAAAAACCGGCAATTTTATGTGTGTAGACGGTAAATCCGGGATTTATCAAGTACCCGGATGTCATTCGTCCCGAGCTTCCGTACATTCATAACATTGGCATTGCTTCCGGTTCTAAGAAATTGCGGTAAATCTCAAATCCATCTATAGCCTAGCCTATTTAATTTCAACATGCCTAACCTAAAATGGGTTAACGAGGAGTCTCAGACCAGTTGTTCATATAATTATCCCATAAATCCGAGGAAGTAGGGTATTTCCATATTCTCCCAGCTCTGCCATCAGGTAAACTCTCGATCATAGCCATGAAGGATGTTAGTCGAAAGTGTCTTCGACGGATATACAATCGCAATCGTCTTGCACGTCGTTTTCTCGCCCTCTTCCGTAAGTCTGTCAGCGATCTGCTATATTCCATAAGCTGGATATATAATTGCACCAAAGTAACCAAAGTAATCATTATTATTATATTATTATCTCTGCAAAATTGACTGAAGCCGATGGCGTAATAAATAAACCGGAAGTTCCACAAATAACGAAGGTCGGTGTTCATCGTCTTTTTCCGTTCAGTCAGTGTAGACGCTACACTTGAAAAAACCGGGTTTTTAAAAAGCCGGCTTTTTCAAGCCTAGTGTAGACGAACCTATAGTTTTTAGCTTCTGTATGCTAATATTCGCCCACGTATCCACTAACATTGGGGCATCTAAGTTTTCCACCTTAGCATGCACAAACAAGCCATTATGGTCATTTGAAATGCTACTAATTACTATATCATTTGATTTATTATTAAGTGAGTCATCTATGCGATTCGTCGAACTTTGACTCGCAAGTCCAACGACATTTAGTTTCCCGACCTCCCTGAATTATTGCGTAGGTCTTGGGATTTTTGAGGTGACTGAGGTCTTTCCCAGTTTCTCTTTTGATCTTGGGGGCGGTGGGGTTCACTGGAGTTACCTCCCCTTATTTCCCAATTATTTTCTCTCCTTTGATCCCTTGGCACATAACTATTGCCTCTGGGACTGTCATTGCCTGCCTGATATGGCTTATTATAAGTGTTATTGTTACTACTGCCCCCGTTCCACACATTCCTTTGCCTCAGCGGTTGGTTAAATGCTTTATTGTTACTTAACGTTTGAACCAGCTGTCTAGTCGTGTTGTCCAACGTATTGATTGATCTATTTAGCGTTCTGATATCTAACTCGTTGTATTTTTCAGGCACTGATTGGCTTTGAGAGTGACATACAGAAACAGGCTCCTGACTGATTTGATGCACAGAACGTCCACGTTGCCTATCAGCGAGTCTGTGCGCTTCTAACCGAATGGCATGTGTTTCAGCCTCATTAATATCTTTAGGCCGAAGTTCACGTATTCTCAACCTCATGTCCGAGTCTTGGATGGAATCAACAAAATGATCGAGGGCCAAGATGTTAGTGAGCGATGAATCGGCTGTCGGATAAGCCTGCCGTGTTAATTTACGAATGGCCTGGGCTAATTCAGGCAGAGTTTCAGCCTTTCCTCTACAACGAGTTTGGAGTCGGGCTCGATACATTTCTGAACGTTCAAGTGAGCCAAATCTAATACTGAGAGTCCTAATGAGAATATTGAAGTCTTTTCTCTCCAGTGGGCTGAGTTCAGTTAAAATAGCTCTGGCATTACCAGTTAAGCTGCTGGCTAAATACAAGGATTTGTCATTATAACTCCACCTATTTATGTTGGAAACAATTTTAACAGAGTGATTATTTTCATGAGCTCTACTATTAAAACGCGGATAACTCACATGGTTATCATTTTGGTTTGATTGTGTAATGGGAGAACTACTTTGAAAATCACCTTCAGGAAATACATCCCTAACCATGCCACTCGGCTCAAGTCTAGCACTTTTACGTAACCCATTAAATTCATGAAACAATGCATCGACATCCTTCTTAATAACATTTATTTCTTGTTTCATTTCAATCAACCCTTTATGGCTCTCACTTCTTAGATATTCCAATTTTTGGCTGATTTGATCTAAGATCGAGTTGTTATTTATCAAAATACTGGGATGGTCGCTTTCCACAGACTGAAGTGATTCATTGGAATTTTGTATACTATCATTGGTGCCCTCATTATTCGGGTTTGCTACAGCACTTTTTTTATTATTTATGATAACTTCTGTATCATCAAAAGTCGCAATTATGAAGCATTATATCACAATAAAACGAAATGTTCTTTTTTTCAGGTGCGTTTCATTATATTTTTATTTATGATTTAACTATTGACTTATTCTCTTGGCACACTAGAGCTGGAGTTTACAATAATAATAAGGGAATTTTGTGGTAGTATCCCACTTCTGACACCAATGTTACGATTCCTCGATTCCCTTAGCGAAGAACGTAAATGGAAATCGGGTTCGCTCCAGTCTAGTGCTCTACCAAAAGAATAAGACAAACAACAAGTTAAAAATTAATAAATTTTATTAGGAGGAAAACAATTAATTAATTGTAGGCCTATATATTATAGGTTCTACGGCAATAAATAAACAAATCGGCAATACCTAAACAAATCATCAAATTGCATAAATTATAAAATATTGGTAGGCAATTATAGTAGTGAACGCCAGATACTTTCTGTATTAAAATAATTAAAAATATGAAGCTGATCATTGACGTTACCGCCCTTTGCCCTAATTGTGGGATTGCATGTTTTTCCGTCCCAAAAGCCAAAAGTGACAAAATAGGGATTTTTCCCCAAAAAGTGGGGATTTACCCACTAGGCTAACCCACTAATTGATAAAAATGGGGATTTTTCCCCCAAAATGGCAAAAGTGGGTATTTACCCACTAGGCCTAACCCAATAATTGATGAAATGGGGGGTTTTGCCCAGGAGTGATGAGAGTTAGGATTTTACCCAACTATTGATAAAAGCGGGGATTTACCCACTAATTGATGAAATTAATGGGGATTTTTCCCAAAAAATGATGAGTTAGGATTTTACCCAACTAGTGATAAAAGCGGGGATTTACCCACTAATTGTTTTATTTTAATACTCAACAAGGGATTTGGTTTAAATTGTTTGATTGTATTATATCATTATTGATTTTAATTTTGTATAGTTGAATTAAGCATAATTATTTAATTTTATGTATTTCAAACATCAGAAAATAAACCATTCAAGCTATGTGTAATGTGTTTGTGTGGTTATGTTGATGGTTAAATAGGTTGAGAATTGAGGCCAAATGACCAATTTTCGCGAAAAAGGGATCTGCCAGTTGGTGTTACAGAATTCAGTCAGTTTTGCTCCGATATTGATAAGGTTGGTTTTGTTACAATGCTGAGATGTATGGCTTTTCAGGAAATAACACGGTTCTGGAGAAAAATTAATATTTAAAAATAGCTGCCTGTCGATATTTAAGGATATGGGTTTACTGTTCCATGTAATTGTCTGCGATATCACCTCGGTGGAAGCGGACGTAAAATACAACTAACACTAACTAACTGTTCCATGTAATTAAATTAATCATTAAAAATATAACCTACAATTTTTGTTTCAATTAAATAAGTTAATCTTAACAATAATATTAGGCTGTTGCATTTTTTGATTTAAATAATTTAATCTTATCAGTTGAGGAAGAAAGAGTTGGTATTTCAATCTAATAAGGTGCCTATAAATTATATAATTATTCATCGTATTATGTAACATTAACATTGTCTGATCGCTTTATTTAATAATACATTTATTAATTTATCATAAAAGTATTGTTAATTAAAGATGCGTTTTTAAATGTTAAACAGGCATTATGTAAGAGCTAAATCTGCTTATTGCAGGTCTTTCTTTGGGCCTTAAATGTAATGTAAATTATCAATTAGACATTTATTAACATGAAAAGACCATAATCAACTCTCGATGCCATCAGATTGCTCAGATGGTAAATTTTCAATATATTCAATTTGCATTATCTATTTTTGAAATGTTATAGTTAATAGCGAGAACGACCAGCTCTTTATCTAAATCTTACATAATTCCCCTTCAAATTTATGTCTATTGTTAATGTATTATTTTAATTTAGGACATAAAGAAATATATTTTGGTTCTCGCTTGGATGACGTGTTTTAATTTTTTTTTTTTTTTAAAAAAACCCTAACAAAACAGTCTTGTTAATTACTGAATGTAAATATTTTACCCCCGGTTACACGAAGTAATTCTGTAAAAAAATTTGACTAGATCTATAGGCTAATTTGTCAAGTATGCAAACAAGTTAAATGTTAATGACATGAATGATATTGGATACCGTAATCATATATTCATATAAACAACATGATGAGATAAATGTAGTGCCTTACAATTTTTAAAAACTCATCTATTTCAAACAAGTTATAACTTAGAGCTAAAGACTTCGTGTAGGTATGTTTTGTCAAGCACTATGAACACAATTTTTGCAGAGTTTTGGCGCTAAAGAAATGGACGTTCATTATATTTATTTATTTGGTTCTTCTGGAAAAATACATACATCTATTTAAACACCAAAAGTACTTGGCTGTTCTGTTCAAAAGCTTATAGTTCCAAATTTTTAAACAAAACATGTTTCACATGATTTAATTAGCTATTTATTTTTATATCGAAGCCCGAAGAACAGGAAATCAAATTGGTATGGCCAACATTGAAATATCAGATATCAAGGATGAAGTTGCCTTTATCAACTCTTGTAAATCTTTTAATGTACAGGATTCCTGGAAGCATCTATTTTAGAACAAAAATTCCTTTTCATTGATAACTAAAGCAATAATTCCTTTTTTTATTTAATACTAATAGTGTTTTCTTTTTCCTTATATACAATTGTTAAATCTACTGAAGCTTATTTAATTTCTCAACAAAGCCTAGATCAAAAAGACTATGAAATAATTGCTTACATTGGGGTGGATTTATATAAGTAAACTTTTTTCCAGTTGTGCAAGCTGAAAAAAAAAGTATGTGTATTTTTTTTTTTTTTTTTTTTTTTTGGGGGGGGGGGGTCTGCATTTATAAAATTAAATGACAGAGGGACTTACAATAAATAAATGGCCATTTTCTTAAATTATTAATTAGGCCTGGATTGGAAAAGAATTTTGTAGGGATATTTACATCTTTATCAACTAAAGTATACAAACAAAGCTGAATTTATTAAAAAAAAAAATGCACATTTGAATATAAACAAGATTTTTAAAACTGTTCTAATATATCATGCAATTGATAATAAAATGCAACATCTAATTTTATTAATCATACTAATTTAAATTACTATAGTCATAGATCTAAGATAGGCCTAGGCGTGTGTGGCACAGAGGTGCGGGTTAGTTAGCTCGCAATATAACCTTTTTCCTTTTGCAAATTAAATTGTAGAACATTTTATTTGAAGTATTAGAAAAATAAAAATAAAGGTGTTTGAAGTATTATATCTATATCAAAAATATTTCCTAATTTTAGTGTAAATTGGTACGGTACATGAATGAAGAAAGGCATTTTTTGCCCATTTATAACCTTTTTTCAACTTAACGTCACACAGTAGCTATTTAATCTTTTGCAATAATCTAAAAATATTTTGGAAGGAGATATCTTGTTCTTTTTTTTCATATAATTTTTATATACGTGTTCACTTTATTAATTTCATAAACGTAAGTTTCAAAAACGTCAATTTCGCGTGTCACTGTGCGTTCGTGTGTCGAAAGCTAGACCGGAAGTAAACAACCCCCCCCCTGCGCAATAAAATATGCGCACGAACCAGAACGCAACATCACGTAAAGGGCTAAAGACGAGTCGGCAATCATACGGTGTTATCTATGGTCATTCAAGCATACCATGTACGATAATCCGAATATTCATTACCCGAGCAGCATACATGTATCTTTGAAATTAAACTGTGTTTATTACTCACTGGTTCGTTCGTTAGGTTCACCTATATATGGTATAACTTGTTCCTTTACTCAAATGTACCAGATACACTTATATCACTTGGAATGTAATGGCACATACGTTTTGTCTGATCGGCTCAACTACCCTAAAACACCCTACACTACGTTGCTATGGTAACACATTTCCTTTGACAAATTCGATTAGAAAAGTCCACATCATATTATAGTATCTTCTGATTGTTGGTTAATATAGACTTAGTTTATAGATGCCTTAAGGGAATCGTCTGTACCATGGAATAATGAGATCGCATGTTACCAATAGCAAGGCAAGAGAATCCTTGTCCAGTAAAAGATCCCTTGACAGTTGGAATTCGATATAAGACTAGTGCTAAATTTCTCCTCATAGCACTCTGTGTGGCGTATGTCCGTCTTCAATAGCCCAGTCGGAGCAGGACAGTAGGACGTTATACTCCATTTCTTTTCATTTATTTTTTTTAAAATGGTGTAAGACGTTGGCTCGCTAACCTGGAGGTCCCGTGTTCGATTTCTGCGTTGGTATAGACATTTCATCTGGATTTTCCGCCCCCCTCCACCCCCTTGTCAGTGATGTAGGACAGATAGTTTTATATGAGACAATGTACAGTCGTGCGGATGGGACGACAAACCGAGGTAAAGTGTACACATTGGCGTGCACGCAAAATATCCCTTGACAGTTGGAATTTGATATAAGAGTAGGCCGTAGTACCGCTGTCCGGGCAAAATTTCCCTCATAGCACACTGTATGGCGTATGCCCTTCTTCATTTGCACAGTTCGGAGCAGAACAGTAGGACGTTAAACCTCATTTCATTTCATTTCATTTGTATGCCCGTCTTCATTAGCGCAATCAGGGCAGACCAGTAGGACGTTAAATTCGACTTCATGTCAAATCTGTTTTTAAATGATTATTAAGGGGTGATAACTGTGTAGTACGGACGGGGACCAGTAATTCCATCGACTAACATAGCAATTTACTTCAAGGGCTATTGTCTGTTAAATGACGATTAAGGGGCGATAACTATATTATACGGATTGAGACTAGTAATTTCATCAACGAATATAGAGTGCATCTATTCAAGCAATTATCTCTTCCCCTCTTTAACATGACATTTGCTGTTGACTTTTCGCTGTAGAATCGATGAAGATTATTTGAATTTAATTTTTCAGTCAGTTTTTGATGAATATTCTTTTTTTGATGAATATTCATGTTTTGATGAATATTCATGTTTATGAGGCGGAAGCATCAAAAAGTACACATACATAACTTTAAGAAATCACTTTCAAAAATGACGTTACAGCCTATAGATTCATTTCGCCAGGCGTTGAAAAAACTAGGAACGGTCAACATTCTGTAATATTTTGATTAGATGGTTGTGACATGCTGGGCTCTTAATCTTCACATTACTCCCGTCGGACTGGGGTGGCTTCCTTACTGCGGCGCTACGGCGACGAAAAATGGTCGCAAAGCGCGTCAAGATCAACAAAAGCGTGTTAAAAGCGTGGTGGAAACGCCAGATATCGTGCTGTGGTCTCCATGGTCCCCAATGATCGCCGAGTCACGGCGTTTGTATAGAGCATGTTAAAAACAAACGCAAAGGTTCTGCGATCTGGCCGGGAAAGCTTTGAGAACGTTACTTATTTCAGTACTTTTTGGGACATTTTCTCGCGTTTTGTTTACGTTTGCCGGCGATCTGTTGTATTTACTGGTTGCCGTACGGTCGCAGCAGCGCAGTAAGGACGCCACTGCGGTATGATGGGGGCATAAACGGGATTGTGAAGACTGCGGAAAAACATGAGTTGTCTTACTAGTGCACGCCTACTCCTACTCTTGATTCTAATCGTTCCGATATGGAACTTAGTTCATAAATTATCAATTGTCCTTAAGGCCCCCGTTTACCTAGATTTAGGGTCGATTTTACTATTATCTTATTAGTGTACTATATATATCTATCTATCGATAAACAAGGGGGTGTAATATTAACAGACAACGAAAACTTACTCAATTGCATCCAAAACAACATCAATGGAAATATCTCCATATTAAATGGGCTAAGGTTTGAATGGCGAAGAAACTAAATATATATATCCCTAATTACCGGCAGTTCTAAAAAAAACATTACAGTTTCTGAAACAGCGACAGTTGTAACAAGGGGGAATAACTCCGTGCACTTGGGGATAACTGTAAAAAAAAGTGGTCTATAATTGGACTAAGACTAGTAATTATTTCCCCTTATTGATTACTGTTTTAAAGTACTTTCGTGTTTGATTTATATTGAATTCATCTCATCTTTTTACAGAATGCATTTATGTTCAAAAATAATTATGTTCTGTGGAATTCAAAATTTATGTGCTTTTAAATTATCAGATTCCATACTAGGGGGTTGGGATAAAAAGCTGTTGTAGTGTTACATAATCAGATTATTTCAACTTACTTATCCTATGGAAATACAGTTATATAGGAGATGTTTTAAAATTGATAGGCACCGCATGTTTCAACATCTTAGATTTGACCACAATTTGGCACTTGAAACTACGTTAACAGAGAAACAGTCTGTGGTTTTCGATGAAAGTGTTAAAAAGTCTAATATTGCATCATGATTACTGTTTTAAAGTATTTTCTTGTTTGATTTATATTGAATTTATCCCAACTTTTCACAGAATGCATTTATGTTCAAAAATAATAATGTTCTGTTTAATTCAAAATTCACGTGCTTTTAAATTTCTGTCTGAAATTCCACAGTTTTCTGATGTATTATAGTGTTTGCAGAATGCCGCAGAGCTCATCTGAAAATGAATAGATTTTCATAATCTTTGGCCAGGGCATTGCATATATGTTTTTTATTAGATAACAAAAGATTTGTTTAAACTGCAGAAACATGTGAGGTATATAGGACTAAGACTAGTAGTGCGAGTTATAAATAGACAATTTTTCCCTTAATTTTTTTCTCCCCTCTTCCTCCATTTTTGGGTTGACTTTTTGGTCTAAAATTGGAGAAAAGGGATCAAATTTGCAATTTCATAGCAGTTTTGGGTAATACTGATGATATTACAGCGGAGGGATAGGAGGTGTAAAGTGTTTTTCTGCAGAGCAATCATTGTGTCGGAAGTGAGATTTTCACCCAAGTAAACTTCAAATCCCCGTAGCAAAAAATCTAAATGGTCAACCCCCTACAAATTTCTGACGGGGAGATTGCCAAATGTAGTCCCCATTGTGCCTATAAAGATTGGAACCAACGGAATGTTGAGCAAAAAGCTACAGCCTGTGATGTTACAGCCATTTAACATTGAAGTCAATGGGCAAATAATTGCTAGTCTGAGTCCAATTGTATGCTTTATGGAGTTTCAATTTAATCAAAATAACCACACCGAATAGACAGACAATACGTGCACAATACTGGGCAATTTGTTGTTGATCTTGTAAGAAAAATTAAATAATAATTGTTGGGGTGTTTCTGGAGACTGGAAGCAGTAAATATTGTTTATTGAATATTATGAATAATGTTATAAAGCATAATGTTAACAAATACTATCTAAATTATTGTCTTTAAAATTATAACATAAAAGTACAAAAATCAGATACAAATTTCGAAAACGTATCTTGCTCGGTACAACAATCTTGGTAAAAATAAGCTCCCTATTATGCAAAGTATCATTCACGCTGTCTTGTTAATAAATAAAATTTTCGCTGAGAACCATCTGATAAATCTGTTGAACGACAAACGAAACCGACATATATTACTTGGCTAATATGATCAATAAAATAAGTAAAAATTATTAATATACAATAGGGGGGTACAGTCTACAGTAGGTTTAAGGGGGGGAGACAAAACATTTTTTCAGGGGGGGGGGGGCATTGCACCGTCGTGCCCGCTACACCCCCCCCCCAGCCCCCGGCCACGGTTAGTAGGCAAACAAGACAATTATAGATTTGATTAAGATGTCCATAAATATATCACGGCTTAAAAATAAACTCGTTATCATCTTTAATAATATAGTAACAATGCAATAAATACTATTAAGTCATTCAGATTTATATTGGAAGATAATATTATAGTGACATATAGTAACATAGTAATAGTACTAAATACTAAACAAACGGTCAAGTTCTTTATCCAGATCACTTAAACATATTTTACTCTTAAAATGACCATAAAGTTCTTAATCCAGATATTATATCACTGAATATATTTTAAAATGACTATAAAGTTCTTAATACAGATATTATAAAGCTAAACATATTTCAATCTTAAATCCAGATAGTATAAAGCTAAACATATATTACTCTTAAAATGACTATAATCCTGGGGCCTGTTTCATAAAATTTTAACTAAGATAAAATCCAAATTTTAGTATTTTGATTGGATAATATTGCATTGATTTTAGTGCTTAGCTAATCAAAATTGAAGTATCTACTTAAATTTGAATATTATCTTTAGTTAAGATTTCGAGAAACAGGGCTCAGATAGTATATCACTAAATATATTTTAAAATGACTATAAACTTCTTAATACAGATATTATAAGGCTGAATATATTTTAATTTTAAGATGACTATAAAGTTCTTAATCCAGATAAAATATGATTATATATAACATAAGGTAACAACTTAATCCAAATGTAATATAATTATACATGATGTATCAACTTAATCCAGACATTCTATGTATAATATAAAGTACCATATATGGTAATATATATAATATATATATAATATATATATATAATATATTGTAACAAAATAATCCAGATATAATATAACTATATATTATATAACAAAAACAACTTAATCCAGATATAATATAACTATATATAATATAAAGTACCATATATATAATATAAGGTAACAACTTAATCCAGGTATAATACAACTATAATATAACTATATATAATATAAGAAAACAACTTAATCCAAATATAATAACTATATATAATAGAAGGAAAACAACTTAATCCAGATATAATATAACAATATATAACATAGGAAAACAACTTAATCAAGATATAATATAACTATATATAATATAAGAAAACAACTTAATTGATCACGCGAAACCTATACACAAGATAAGAGAAAACGAGAAAAATAGAAAACGCCCGTACATTCACGTGTTTTTATTCATTCTATACATGGTTATGCTTTTTCGTTTTCTACTTCTACGTTTTCTCTTATCTACTAACAGTTAATTATTCTTATATAACAAATTTTTGTCTTCGAAGAATTTATCAGTGACCAGAAATTATCGCTCGTTACCTCAATCAGTAATATAAAATTTTGCGTCACTTCCGTTTCTTCAAATCTTCGTTACGCATCTACTGTAGCAATGATCTCTGTGTTAAAATTGTATTTGGAAAGTGTATAACCAGTTCTATCACATATGTGATAATGCCTGACACCAATATTATAGTCCTTTAAAGATACGTTCCCGCGTATAAACTGGGTTATTTGATGATGTATTTTTGACTCAAAACATATTCAAACTAATAAATCTATCAACAATTTTGCTTTTCATCCTTCTCAAAACACTGTTTTCGCGAGGGGATACCCCCACTATAAAAAATCTAATAAAAAAAAGTCATGTTCATGTAACGTGATTTAGCTGACACACTACCTAGCAACGGGTGCGAAGTTGGGGAGAATTCATTGCATACACAAGACGATGTTGTCTTTAATCGCTACCCATAAATCATAAATATCGAAGCCTAATTAAATTCTCGTATTATCCACTGCCCACGTCTTTTCCCGTGGATTTTATCTCAGAAAGCGTTGTTCGTTTAAGTCTTCATCAAGTTTATCAACATATATACACCAAGCTCTATCGTCGCGTGCTACCTCTGACGTGACGCGAGCAGACATTCCTAATCGTCGAGCTGCCGATTAGAGAAACCCTTACATTTTTGTCCTGTTTGCGCTCCATGGGTGTTTTTAAGGGAATCCAGTATTTTTCTAGTAAGATTGGATATTTTTACTTTCCATATTTACCAAACTGGCTATACTTTTATTGGAAATAACCACCCGATAAATACTTTTCTGGGGAAAGTATGTTTAATGCATCATGGCACTCAAATTGTAGAGATCGAGTGACTTTACAACTGATATTCTAATTTCTTATCTGACAGCCTTGTCTACTAGAGTAAACGGTTTAGAGATGTAAATGTGAATTAAAAGAATTTTGAACGAATGAAACATAAATAAAATGTTTCTCCATATATCATGTTTTTGATTTAAGTATCTTTTATATAAAATATACAGTATACTAATTGGGTTTGTAAGAACCTAAAGTTGTGTATATTTGCTGTGTGTTATCTGGTGTGAGCTCTAATGTATCATACATATTTCTTGTATTGTCTTCTGTATTAAACGATAGGTTTACAAAGTCTACATTACGTGTATTAGTTGGAATATTCTGATTTACAGTGGTTAATGTATCATCGGTTGTAGAACTAGTTGGGTTTCCATATTCTAAATTACGTGTATTAGTTGGAATATTCTGATATCTGGTGGTTAATGTATCATCTGTTGTAGAAGTAGTCGGGTTTAAATCTGTATTACTGTTATTCGATTGACGCCTGAAATATAGGGAATCAAATATAAGACAACTGATATCTAACAATAACCTTCAAAGATTGCACAACACAAAGCTGTATAAAGCTTTTAAAATTTAAGCATAGGATACAAAAGGTTAATGTCTAGATGACCAGCCTACCACATGATGCTTTCATTCCGCCATTGATACAATGCAAGAGATCAGCGGGCGTCTTTCACAATTATTTGCCGCTCAAACTGCTTTGATATGTACGACCGAGCATGACACAAACGCAGTAGGACGTTAAACCCCATTTCATTTCATTTCATTTCATGACACAAACGGTTCTGTGGAGGTCGATGAAACTAGCATAAAAGCATGGGCTAGCTAATTGTTTTGATCAACTACTAAAGGATAGATTCAGATTTAGAGCCGTTGTAGGACTATTAACAACTAGTAATTACAATCTGATTAAAATAGAGATCTATATTTTAAAATAACTTGTATTTAATAAAATGTTACCTTTTCTTATAGAAATGATATGACAGGAAGACAGCTACCGATCCTAGTATACCACACAGAACACCGACCAGAACACCGATTACACCAATTACAACAGGACTTAATGTTATACTTGACAAAGCAGGTAGAGGCTCTGTTAAATATAATAATGATATTTGCAATATATATTAATGGTGATACCTTTTTTTTTCGGATCAAAGAAAATGGAAGGACGGAGAGTTAAATGGGGTGTAACGTCCACTAGTCACAAAATAGGTCATTTCGGGCTTAATATATATATATATGGTTCAATTTTGCGCGCGCGTTAAACATCTAGATTATAGAAATATATTAATATTTCGTTATTAAACAGATATCTTAGTATCCAACGAATGACAGTACAAGTCCAGTCTATATGTGTTCCGACTGACTGTGTTATAATCATATACCGAGACCATAATATTTTCTTTAAAATTGTGTAAATGTAGCTTACCCTTACAGGCTGGACCTTGAAAGCCATCAGCACAGCCAAGTCCACAACTACCAGTAATTGCATCACATGGTGTTTCATCAGCACAGTTACCACATTTACTGGTACAGTTGTCACCATAACGACCTGCTTCACAGTCTGTTAATACAAGTAAAAATTCACAATTACAACATTTACTTTCTCAATTGTCACCATAACGACCTGCTTCACAATCTGTTAATACAAGACAAACATTCCTAATATGTCTGGTATCATCTGTTATTAGTGTCAAGCACTGAAGTCTACTTTTGATCCATTCGATTTTCATGAAGGATGGTTTGCCAATTGATATTTACAAAATGTCGACATTTTTCATTTTCGCTCTATACAATTATTCGTTCATTTTATACACAAAATAAATTAAGTAGGCAGTTTTAGATTAATTTTGGCCAAGAAGTGCTGGACAACGCCAACAAAAGAGTATAAGGGGAAGATGTCACTGAAAGAGTGGGGATTACGGTGGCTAAGTTGGTAAGACGCTGGGTCGCTAGCATGGAGGTCGGGTGTTCGATCCCTGCATTGAACGAGAAAGTTCATCCAGATTTTCGTTTCCCGTTGTCAGTAATGCAGGACGGAGGGCCTGACAAGGACAGATGTCTTGTCGTTCGGATGGGACGTAAAAGATCCCTTGGCAGTTGGAATACATAAGATATAAGAGTAGGCCGTAGCGCCGCTGCACGGGCAAAATGTCCCCCATGGCGTTTGCTCGTCTTAATTAGCCCAGTTCAGGGATGCAATCTTTATTAGATTCATTATCAGAAACATTGGTTGGCCGAATGAATGGATATTCTGTATATTGTGGAGATTGACTTTAAAATATATGTACGAACTATGTGAAAGAGTTAATGATGGTATATTTAATGAGTTCGAGGAATATTGTCATATTATTTATGTTTAAACAAATTGAACTCAATTATTTTCAAATAAAAGTAGATTAAAAATAAACTTACCTGTTGTACAGTTGGATCCTATTTTACCAGGTACACATCCATTTATACAATCCCCTGTCATCTGATCACACTTACCAACAGTTGTACAAACTACTGGTTTACAGTTAGTATTACATAGTTTATTACATGATGATCCCCATCTTCCATCTTTACATTCAGTACAGGAGTTGGCATCATCTCTATCACAAACAGTACAACCAGTATTACAGTTCGTATCACATCTATCACCATATCTTCCAACAGTACATTCAGTACATCGACCATTTCTATCACAAGTGACACTGGTCTGGTCTGTTCTTGGTTGACATTCTGTACCACAGGTTAGGTTACAGTATGGACCAACTGTATCAGGTTTACAGTCATTACATCTACCATCAGATTTTGAACATTGATTATTTAAACAGCCATCACTACAGTTCTGTTGACATTTGGTACCATAAAAACCAGTTTTACAATCTCCAGTACAAACACCGGCAGTAGAATCACAGCTGTCATCATGGCATGTATTACAGCTCTGTTGACATTTGGTACCATAAAAACCAGTTTTACAATCTCCAGAACAAACACCAGTAGTAGAATCACAGCTGTCATCGTGGCACGTATTACAGTTCTGTTGACATTTTGTACCATAAAAACCTGTTTTACATCCTCCAGAACAAACACCAGTAGTAGAATCACAGCTGTCATCGTGGCACGTATTACAGTTCTGTTGACATTTTGTACCATAAAAACCTGTTTTACATCCTCCAGTACAAACGCCGGTAGTAGAATCACAGCTGTCATCATGGCACGTATTACAGCTCTGTTGACATTTGGTACCATAAAAACCTGTTTTACATCCTCCAGTACAAACGCCTTCAGTAGAATCACATCTGTCATCGTGGCACGTATTACAGCTCTGTTGACATTTTGTACCATAAAAACCTGTTTTACATCCTCCAGTACAAACACCAGTAGTAGGATCACATCTGTTATTAGAACATGTATTACATGGTTGACATGTAGAACGTGATGTACTGTAGTATCCAGTATTACATTGTGCTAGATCTGTAATATAGATGAAATATGTTCTGTGGTATATCGTATTAAATTTAATTAAATATACATAATATAATGTTATTGTGCTGTATTTGATGCAGTAGAATTCATTATATTTTACTAAATATATATATAATATTCTATTTTTACGTGTCAAAATAGATAGCGACAAATGAATATATTGAAAATGTCATTTAAATTACTTTAATATGAGCGAATGTATTACTGTGTGAAGATATAGCGTAGCAATGGTACTTGTCAACTATTACTTAGCCTCGCTTGTCCAATTTGTTCTTATAGAACTCTCGATACAACTAAATTGGGTCAAAATGAACTGTTTACGATTACGTTTAATGTATTATATAAGAGCTAAATCAGCCTAGTGCAGGTCATTCATTTGGCTTAGTCCATCGGATTGTTGTCGAGTTTTAACTGATTGAAACACGATCGCCATTTGTTTATTATCGTAATAGCGGTAGCAATGAATACTGAAACTACGCTATCCTTCAAAGCGTCACAACATCGATAAGAATAAAGTTACAATTTCATATTTTTAAGTTATATTTTTAAAATGTATTAAAATAAAGCCCTAAAATAGATGGTATCTATAAACAGTCATACCTTGTTAAAGAATAATCCTATTAATCCTATAATTCACTATTGCCAGTTATTTTCAACTTCAAATTCAAACGTTTGGAGATAGCTATCCTATGGTGTGGAATAGGAAAACAAGGGAGGTAATTGGGAGGTAATTGTGTTATTATTTCCGGCGTGAAGATTTTTAAGTGTGAGAAAGATAACCTATGATCGTATAATAGTGAGTTGATAACATAGAAATAGTTATGTTTTGACTTTCTTAGAAAATATGAAATTGTAACTTTAAATGTTCAATATATTTCTTTTTCGTTATCTATTTTTAAACAACGTGAACTGCCAGCTCTTTATCTTCATCTTGCATACTGCATCTTTAAATTGTTCCTGATAAAACTAGTAAACCGTCCAAATGAGTTGATTTCTCGTTTAAAGAATTGGAAACTAGCGTCAGCAATCGTAATGTAGCATATAATTACGTCACGTACCTGCAAATATTTCAACTTCACACATTACTAGGGCGTTGTTAAAGCTTTTCACATAGGCAGTTCTACCAGAAAATGATGTAGATGAAGGTTGATTACATCCAGTTACAGTATAAACAGACTGTGTTGATGTTGTATCTTTATAACATGATGTAGCTGATTGAAGTCCTTCTTCACTACACTGACCACTAGAACTTGTCTTTATCTCAAATCCTTGTAATCTCCCCCAAACTGAAAATAATCCAAATAAGAAATCAAGAACAGCCGATCCATACCACCACTGGAGCATCAAAGGTTGCATTCCGGCTAGTTGAAAAGGCGACCCCTAGAAAGGGGTCATGCAAAGAACAATCTCTGGGAGTCACTGATCGACCCATTAAAACTATATATTAAAGATAATTATTATAAATTATATATATACAAATGGAATAACAAATGAGAAATTATTTTTCAATTGGTATAGCAGCGGGGATTACAAAATGAAATCCAGAGAATTGTATTAAATTCGCCAACATCTTCCAAATCTACACGTAGAACTTGAATATCCCTGACAATTGTCTTTGAATTGATACTTGCTACGATCATCAAGTATGAAGACACGGTTATCTAGGCTATTCCACACTTTATATTATAGTTGCACATAAAACGTATTCAAGTTTTCAAGACTCTTTCACCTCACATAAACTGGTTTTATGCACTAAAGTAAATATTTCAACTGTCAAGCGTAAGTATCCACCAAACGTTTTGGAAATAGTCAAAAGATTTTGCTGACTGTCTTTATTCCCGCCTGGAGTTACAGTATGTAATTTTTTAAAAATAATCTCAGATGTCTGCTACGTTCATGTATTGATGATATAGTCTTCTATTCAATACATATTTGCTGACACTTTCATGTGTGTTGAAAATGACTTGAAATGGGTTTAACGTCCTATTGTTTTGCTCCGACTGGTAGAAGACATGCAGTCCCCGAACAGTGTACTGCAAACGCAATTTTGCCACAACAACGACGCTATAGCCTACTCTTATATCGAATTCCGACTGTCAAGTGATCCGTCAGAGGAATCGAACCCGAAGCCAACATCATACCAAATGAGCCACCATGGCTCTCATGTTGAAAATGGTAATAACTTTACAATTGACAGTATTACAAGCTTAACAATGTAAGCAAGTTTTAAACATAAACAGACAGAAACCAAGAACGTTTCTGAGGCACTGACCCACAGGAATAAACAGACTCAAGGTGGTTATTTAATTGAACGAAATATGAATAGATCTCCTCCGTTTAAAAAACATATTCAATGTTGTTCTTATTCTTGTGAAAACAAACTCAAATACTTTAATTTTTATTCCCGAATTGTACTTATATTTATCTCATTTTGCATATCATTTCAATGGGTTTTTTTGTTTTATTTTCCAAATAAAAAATATTAGTTATAAGTTTAATGATCTACTTACACGACGTGTTCTGTCTGTTATATATTTTAATTTGGTTGAAATAATACAACTGTTGTAAATCAACACACCACCAACCAGAATATCCTTCTATTGTATGAGTACATGATCCATTAGACCAATCACTATTAGTATTACCATCTACAGCTCTAGAAGCAACAGCACCATATCTTGTAGAACTCTGCTGTACTAATTGTTGACGAAGAGCAACATTGGTGAGTGTATCTGTTTAAAAAGATACAATATATGCGTGGGTGTATCTAAGTAAACATATTTAAAAAGGTAGAAACAAGTAGGAAATATCAGCGAGCCCAACAAGCCAAGCAGTATTTTCATTATGCTCTCCCTGATTGTAATGACGTCTAAAATAAAAACCTTTCCAAGATCTATAAAGATAGGTTTCTAGGCAACGGCGCCTACTCTCACAACATCGTCTGGACAGTCAAAAACAAAGGTATTTGTAAGCAATGGAAGCATTTACAATTCACTGATACAGTTTCAAAGACAACCTTTTCGTTCGAGCGTTCACAAGGTTCTACAAGGTGAAGCAAGCGAGAGGCATAATTCTAGACGTAATTAACGGAATTGTTGAAATTCGAAAGGCCTCTTCGTTTTGCTAATTTATAATTTATAATTAGATAGTGAATATAAATTTAATAATGGTATGGTGATATAACTGTCGTCATTAGAGCGTTCTCAAGCAATCTGATTAAAATAGAGATCTATATTTCGTTTCGTTTTATTTATACTTTCGATGGCCTGCACTAAATGAAGATCTGACCGGTTGTAGCGATAGGTCGTGTAAGAGGTCCTACGAGCGGCTTTTAACCCTATGACATCAGACATTTGATTAACCAATCAGCATTGATGGCAAAACAAACACGCCTAAAACACGCCTAAAGACCGTTTCATTGGCTAATACCTCATCCAGTAGAAAATGAAACAAGGGTGATAACTATAATGGAAATTGTTGAAATAAAATATAAAATGAGGATGAAAGTGCAGGTTAATTGTTTCTATGAATTATTCCCCTTTGAGAGGACATGATCTTTATTTTATTTAGCCCAGACTAGAAATAGTTATTTAATATAGAAGACATTAACAAACGAATACACGGTGTCTATACACGACATAATAATATAGAGGACATTAACAAACGAATACACTGTGTCTATACACGACACCATGATATAGAGGACATTAACACACGAATACACTGTGTCTATACACGACACCATAATATAGAGGACATTAACAAACGAATACACTGTGTCTATACACGACACCATAAAATAGAGGACATTAACAAACGAATACACTGTGTCTATACACGACACCATAATATAGAGGACATTAACAAACGAATACACTGTGTCTATACACGACATCATAATGTATATACGAAGTATTTGTTTTCTTACGTTAGTATTTCTTACCAGAAAATATCTGAACTTCACATAAAGTAAGTGGTTGACTTGAAGCAATAGTGACATATACTGTTTTAGCAGATATACTAGTTGATGTAGGTTGATTACATCTATCTATTGTATATATATCTTGTATTGTTGGTGGTGTATCTTTATAACATGATGTAGCTGATGAAAGTCCTGTTTGATTACATGTACCACTAGAACTTATCTTAATCTCAAATCCTTGTAATCTGTCTTCATCTAGAAAATATAATATTATACGATAAGTTACTGGCCTTGAAATTCATGAAACATTATGGATGATATTTAACACTGGATGGTATAAACAAAACAACCCCGATACATTACACAGATCACCAGATCTTGTCTTTTATCTTAAATCTTTGTTATTCTATTTGAATTTAATAACATTATACGTTTGAACTAGTCCTTGTCGAGGCAATCGGCCAAGTCAATTTATAGCATTGTGCTAATCTGTAATTTACCAATACGTCCGGCATCTTTAACCTGGCGACTGCCCAATAAGGTAATAGGGTGTAATTTTATAAGGCCAGTAACCCATTTTCAGATCTAGCCGACGGTGGGAACTGTTAGTGACTCATTCTAAGACGAAGGCAGGGCGGAATCTTACAGGGACTATCCTGCATAGTATCACACGGGTTGCGGAAGTATGATGGAGGACACAATTTATTTTGTTGGCTATACAAGCTTCCAAATATGAAACAGAGGTGATACCAGGTGTTCTAGGGGTGAAGAGTAAGCATACTCCATACACAACACTGGATATTTAGGAATTGATATTTTGAGTTTTAAACGAAGTGTACCCTGGACCGAAATATAAACCAGCATAATAGACTATAATTTATATCGCCTTCATTTTATTTCTAACTGTAACGTATGCACATGTAATTATTTCTTTTGAAATGAAAAAAAAATAAAGCAATGTTGAATTGATACACTGTAAAGTTGATATCATTGACTAAAACTTTTATAAATGAAAATATATGGCACAGCCAGACCAAAGTCGCCATGTTATATACAAAACCGTAATCAGTTTAAATTTTTAGTAGCCAGGCTGTAAACATTAAGTAATAAAGAGTCTAGGTTGTTCCTAATTTCACTACAATCCATCCAGTTGTGGACCATGCACAGAAGCAACTATATAAAACTGGCTATCAAAGACTAAAACCAGTTGCAGATCTATCTTAACTCACATTTGTCTCTGTTGAATAGTTTGATGGTGTCAATCTTATAAATCTGTTGTAGATCAACACACCACCAGCCACCAACAGTGTTTTCGTTTGTATGTGTACATTGACCACTCGACCAGTTATTACCAGTACTACCATCTACAGCTTTACTTGAAGATGATCTGGAATCAAAATATGTTGTACTCTGGGCTGTTGGTTTGCCAAGAGCTATGTTTGTACCTATAAATTACATTATAACATTCAATACAACATGTAAACCCTAAATAATATCATGTAAATACAATATGTAAATACAATATGTAAATACAACCCCTACAAGGCCTAAATAAGATCACGTAAATACGACCTGTAATTACAAGTTTTAAATACAACATATAGATAATATTCAATTCTAAAACAATATACTCAGTGTTGTAAATACAAAATGTAGATCATAATGTTTACAGAAAAATATTGAGTAATATGGTAGATCCTCTGTGTTTATTTCTGAACCATGTACGCAAAGACGGATGTATTTCTGATATTTTTAGCAAATGCATGGTTTAAAAAACATATTTTAACGGCTGTAAATAACGAGTCTACAGTCAGTTATTTCAAATGCAGTCCTCACTGAGCTATATATTGTTAAATTATTCAATACAATAAATTAAGTAATACCTGTACAAACATCACATGACCTCATACAGTTCTGTCTATAAAACTCATCTCTAGGATAGTCAGTATTACCACATGATTGACAGTCGACGTTGTCTGTATCTCTGCACATATCTATTGCTAGAAGATAGGAAGATAGAGGGGTGCATAACGTTGTTATTTAAAATACAAATATTATACTTGTCATAAATAGATTGTGATTGTACATATGCAATAGAATAATAGTGTAGATTTTAAAATGGCAGCTTGAACATTGGGTCATCAGGTCTTTCAAAGATGGCCGGTACTATGGTTTCGATCCCAGGGCGGTGCTTGACACCGAGTAAGGGTGCTTGTCCTTAAGACCAACCATTGTTTCAGCTAACCAGCAGTTTGTATTGAGTTATCCCAGTATCCTCAGTTGTCGCATTCCATTCTACTCCACCATCCTTTTGGGTAATCAATGGAGGGGGAGGGGGGACAGGTATTCAAGTTATCTGCCCTAGACGATTGTGCTATTTTTATCGACCAATCCCATAAATCGTTAATTGTAAAGGAAGTAGGCGAAGGGAAGCATCGTGTTGCAACAAACCGCCATATGTACCTCCCCCTCCCCCTTTGTTGACGTTTTTATGTAGAATGCTGAGGCGGAAGGATACAAGAATTAAGAGGTTAGTTAGGTTGGTTGAAATTTAGGGCGGAAAATTGCATGTTTTGTGGTCTCTACTTCCAGTTTTTGTATCTTAAGTGTTTCATGATGAACCTCATCTGTGGTAGAAAGCTTTCAACAACGAAAATTTGGAAAAAAGTTAGAGCTTGTTTAAAAGACGACAATTAACATTAAATTCAATGGGGGAAATCACTGGTGATCTGTGGCCATATTGATGTGAACGTAAACAAAGAGGCTTAACAGTCTTAGTAAGACTCGTGACAAGGAGTAGGGTCGCCTGTCCAATCTTGTGGGTTTTCCTCGGATCCTCTGGTTTCCTCCCACTGCTAAATACCCCTACGCGCAAGCGAATTATTGAAATAAAATTAAACCATATGTTAGTTCCGAAATGACCTAGTTTGTGTCGAGTGGACGTTAAACCCCATTTCTCTCTCTCTCTCTCTCTCTCTCTCTCTTAGTAAACTGATCTTGGATTGGATCGAGGACTCAAGCTATGATCAAGGTCAAAGCAGATTATTTGAAATGGTACTGCGTGGATATTAACAAAGGTGTTAAATCGCTATTATTTGGCAACTAGAAATAGACACACATATATTTATAATGTAGTATGAATGAAGAAAAACTGATTTACATTCAGTCGGGGGGTGGGGGGTCTAACGTCCACTCGACACAAACTGGGTTATTTCGGGACTAACACATGATTCAATAATTCGCTTACGAGGTTGGCCATGCGACCCTATTCCTTGTCACGTACAACCGGGGAATCGAAACCACATCAGTTGACTCAATGCCTAACCTATGACACAACGCGCACGCGCTAACCATTCGGCAATCCAACCCCCTTCTTATCTTTGAGTTGGGACTATCGTGTTGTGTAATAGCAACCAATCAATAGAGTGACTAGTGTTTTATTATAATTCTATATAAATACTATAAATATATTAATGATTACTACTTATATACACTACATAAATACTATAATTATGTTATTACTAAATACCTAAACCATATAAATAGTATAATATGTTAATGATTACTACTTACCAACACTATAATATAATATTACAGATGATAGAGTTATAACAGTTGTCAACTGATTCACTTTCATTTTGTACAACATTATTCAGCCCTAAGAAAACAAAATTATTAAGATTGAGGCAACATAAATCACAAAATTAGGATAACATTACAAACTTTTCGCAATGCGAATTGGCCCCAGAAAAGTGTGGGAATTGCATAATGCTGGCTCGTTTCGGATCGCTACTAACTTGCACGCATTCCAGAAAAGTACTGATTCTAAATTTATAATAACAAAGTAATTTTACTCCTGAACATGTACTGAGTAAGAATTTCTGATAATATATATATATATCTATATATTTTGCATTATCGCCAGGTGCGGATTCAGGAACTTTTGCAGAAGGGGGTTTGCCAGGTCCTTGAGACAATGTATCGTTTTCTTAAATTATTTAAGTTCTTTTGTGTGTGCATGTGGGAGGGGAGGGGGGTATCATTTCAAAAGTCATATAAATTATCCAGTCGACATTGCTCAATATATTCTGTTAATTCATGGAATTATGCTCAGACATAATACAGGGGTTAACCAAGATGTTAGGGTAGTTTATTTCCCCAAATACAGATGTTTAAGATGTTAGGATAATTTATTTCCTCATTAGTAATTCAAAACCAAGATCAAATCACAGATATATCGAAGAAACATCTTTTATTTTATTTTAACTTGAAACACATGTATGTTATTAAAGGAATTAAAATACAAAACTTTAACAGAAGCCTGATTTATTTTTATACGCCCACATTTTTATGTGGACGTCGCCCCTGTCCGTCCGTCCGTCCACAATTGTTTGTGAACACTCTACAGGTCACAATTTTTATCCGATTTCAATGAAACTTGAAATATAGGTTTATCACCCCATGATCTCGGTTCCTTTCGATATTGGCATGTATCGGACTGTAACTTCATGGATTATTGCCCTTGATTGTACGAAAAATCACGTTTTTAGCTTGTAAACACTATAGAGGTCACAATTTTTATCCGATTTGGGTTAAACTTGAAATGTATGTTTATAACTCACAGATCTCGGTTCCTTTCGATATTCGCGCATATCGGACAATAACTTCTTGAATTATGACCCCTGATTGTACGAAAAATCGCGTTTTTAGCTTGTGGACCCTATAGAGGTCATAATTTTTATCCGATTTAAAAAAAAAACGTTCGAATATATCACCATTACACCCTAAGGATAGTTGAATTCGAATTTCGTGAAAATCGGCCCAAAACTGACAGACAAAATGGCCGCCCTTCGTTCTCAAATAGTGTAAAAATATGGTATATCAAGGTTGTGGACCCTATAGAATTCACAATTTTTATCCGATTTTATTGAAACTTGAAATGTGAGTTTATAATCCCAGGATCTCGGTTCCTTTCGATATTTGTGCATATCGGACCATAACATCCTGAATTATGGCCCCTGATTGTATGAAAAATCGCGGTTTTAGCTTGTGGACCCTATAGAGGTCATAATTTTTATCCGATTTGAAAAACCGTATTATTATTTCACCGTTACACACTAGGGACGGCTGATTTCGAATTTCGTGAAAATCGGCCCAAACTGACAGACAAAATGGCCGCCCCTCGTTCTCAAATAGCGTAAAAAATATAGTATATCAAGGTTGTGGACCCTATAGAGGTCACAATATTTATCCGATTTTGTTGAAACTTGAAATGTAAGTTTATAACCCAAAGATCTTGTTTCCTTTCGATATTCGCGCATATCTGACTGTAATTTCCTGAATTATGACCGCTGATTGTACGAAAAATCACGTTTTTAGCTTGTCAACCCTATAGAGGTCATAACTTTTATCCGATTTAAAAAAACGTTCGAATATATCACCATTACACCCTAAGGATAGTTGAGTTTGAATTTCGTAAATATCGGACCAAAACTGACAGACAAAATGGCCACCCCTCGTACTCAAATAGTGTGAAAAATATGGTATATCAATGGTGTGGACCCTCTAGAGGTCACTATTTTCTTTTGATTTAGATGAAACCTGAAATGTAAGTTAACAACCCAAAAATCTTGGTTCCTTTCGATATTCGGCATATCGGATAGTAACTTTCTGAATTATGGCCCTTAATTGTACGAAAAATCGCGTCTTTAGCCTGTGGTTCTTGTAGAGGTCACAATTTTTATCTGATCCTTTTGTTCGAAAAATGGCATTTTTAGCTTGCGGATTCTCTTGAGGTCACAATTTTTTTCCGATTTTAAAAACCGTTTAAATATTTCACCATTCCACCATAATGAAGGATGAATTCGAATTTCGGGAAAATCGAAATGAAACTGCCCAACAAAATGGCCGCTCTTTGTACGCAAATTGTGTAAAAGTATGCAATGCAAATGTTGTCAACCCTCTAGAGGTCACAATGTTTGTCCGATTCTGATGAAACTTAAATCATATCTTATATCCCAAAGATCTCATTCCTTTTTGATATTTGCGCATTTCAGACCATAACTTTCTAGATTATTGCCCCTGATTGTACAAAAAATCTTGTTTGTTTTTAGCTTGTTCTCTATCCATCTCTTGCAAAATGAGGGCGTATCCTGCCTGGCAGCCACTGGTTGAGATTGTGGTTCCTCTGGATGTCACAATTATTATCCAATTTAAAAAAACGTTTGATTGTTTCACCGTTACACCGTAATAAAGGTTGAGTTCGAATTTCCTGAAAATCAAACCAAAACTGCCGGACAAAATGGCCGCCGCTTTTACGTGAATAAAGTAAAAATATGGTATATCAAGGTTGTGGACCCTGTAGAGGTCACAATTTTAATCCGATTTTGATGAAACTTGAAATGCATGTTTATAACCCAAAGGTCTTAGTTCCTTTCGATATTTGAGTATATCGAATTGTAACTTCATGAATTATGGATCTTGATTGTAGGAAAAATCACTTTCTTTTTTAGATTGTTCTCCATCCATCTCACGAAAATGTGGGCGTATCCTACCTGTCAGCCGCTGGTTGTTGTTGAGAAAGTCATTACACGTAATACACACACATTTATATACCAATCACTGTATTACTGTACATTATATAACTTACCAAAGCTCGTATCTATGTACAAGAACAGATGTCTAGTCGTTCGGATGGGACAAAAACCCGAGGTCCTGCACGTAAAAGTAAAAGATAGATCCCTTGACAGTTTGATTTCGTTATGTCTATCAATGGGTAAACTGTCTTGTTTAGGAATATACAGTAATTGTCCAGTCAATCTAGCTGTAAAAGGACCCAACCCAAAACAAATTGCAACATAATTTCTTTTGGTGTTATACATTTCTGTAAGGCACCCTAACATCACACTAAAAATGTTCCAAAATGCTTTTTGATGAAAAGGGGTCAAATTGCGTAATATGCTAGTTAGCATAATTTCATGTTTCAGAAATTGACTTAATGCTATTACTAGGCTATCAAATGAGCCAGGTAAGCACATAACCACATTTGGAATATAATCACTTTATTACCATATGGAGAAAATATGCAAATTAACAGCCGCCATCAGTGACAAAATTATTTTTTCCCCTAAATCTGAAACTCTTAGCTCTATGAAACCAATACCTACGCCCATAATTTCAGGGTCAAGGGTGCCGAAGAACACCAGGAGAACAGCACAGTTATATTGCATAATGTAGAATATGCAAATTAGAGGCCTCGGCCCTAATTGAAAAACACACAATCTCAAAAAATATTTGCAATAAGTATGAGTTATTCGGAAAGCAGGCTGCCCTCAAAAACTTGAAATATATATAAGTACCCTAATCTGTTGGAAATGGTATGGTTTCATTAAAATTTTAGGGAGGGTGCTCGGCTGTCGTTTCTGTTGGGATAACCCAACCACATAAACTCCATAGCAATGCGCACAATCTGTCTGGCAGTGGTAATTCATGATCCATATGGTGATGCTGAACAATTTACAAGCAATTTTAGGTGGTAAGGACTTCAGCTTCGTCCCCAAACCACTCCTAAATATACCTGTGCACAGGCGCATGTCTAGCCTCGTGAGATTTTACCCGGTACCTAGCCGCCTCCCCCAATCATTCCTAAATATACCTGTGCGCAGGCGCATGTCTAGCCTCGAGAGATTTCAGCGGGTACCTAGCCGTATCCGACAATCAGTCCTAAATATACCTGTGCGCAGGCGCATGTATATCTAGCCTCGTGGGATTTCACCGGGTACCTAGCCGCCTCCCCCTATCACTGCTAAATATGTCTGTGTGCAGGCTCATTATTAGAATAGAGATTTCAGCGTGACTTTATAAGGTTTAAGACAACGTATGAATGCTTTAGTAGACTGAATCTTTTACCAACAAAATAAAACTTATCCAGAAGAATCTAGGCGGTTTGGATAGGGGTGGGTAACCCTAAAACAGGTTATAGAAAGATTCCAGATCGACGAATTGTCGATATGACCTCTCTAACCACCAGCCTTATCTCCCAGACTTCGCTGGACTGAAAAACGACCACACCAAATCCATTATAGTATTGTAGCTCATGACTTAAGAGCCGCGCTGACTCAGTGAGTAAGATCATGGCTCGCTAACCAGGAGATCACGGAATAGATCCCGGTGTCGGCCTACAAAGTTCCTCGGTATTTTCCGATGTGGTTTCCCCGTACCAGTGGTGCAGGACAGCTGGTCGGACACAGTGCCTAGTTGTTCGGGTGGGACGAACATAGACCCATATAAACGTTGGCGTTAACGTAAAAGAACGACTGATTGGAATTTGAAATAATATTAAGTCGCAGCACCGCTGTCCAGGCAAAACTTGGTCTCATAGTACACTGCGTGGCGTATGTCTGTCTTATTTAGGTCGAAAGGAACAGAAAAGTAGGACGTTAAGACACACAAAAAAGTCAATACAGGTCGACAACGATTCGAGCTTCGTACTCCGCTAGTGTTTGTCACACTGGACAGGGTGGACAAATTCTATCTTGACCATGATGCGAGATAAAAATATGTGCCTATAAAAGTTTATCTATTATTTGTGGTTAATCGACTATCACAATAAATGGTCAGAATTGTTCACACTATCTGGTAGCAACAACCAATACTATC